GATGATTCAGTTGACACTCGTAGGCGTCATGGTCTTTACCACTACAATGTGCACACGTCAAAAAACCAATACAAGGTGCCTTAGAATATCCGAACCACTGACACTGGAAACACCTGAGAGGGTTAGGAATATACGGCCGTACCTTGCAGTTCAGATAACCTTCCTTGACAGTGGCAGGTAGACGTGGTGATGTAAACGTCAATACAAGAACATTGGTAGGCAGCATAATTCCTTCTTTACAAGTGGAGATGCGTCGCATAGCAGAAAATCATTGGCTGGAGAAACCGGCGAGGATCTCCGACTCGGATATGGTCTTTAAATCTCTCAACAATCACTCCTCAGGGAGAATTCAAAGTAGCATGGGGAGTAACCTCAATAGGTATATCTCCAATGGCCTTTGAATTAAGGAGGAATTCACTGTGTTTTAGTGTAGGTGTTTTCACCAAGATGTCCCCAGAACGTAGCTTATTCACTGACTTTGGAGAGCCAGCTAGCCCCTCTAATCCTTTCTGAATGAAAAAAGGAGACATTTTCCCTAAAGGTTTGTCTGATAAAAAATGTAAAATGATAAAACGAGGTACAGGTGCAAAATAGAGTGAAGACTGCTGTTCAGAGTCTTTTAAACGTGATCGCTTAATTATTAACTATTTCTTGATTATTTTATGTTTTTCAAGGATAGGGGGATCAATAAGAAAAAGAGAAAGATTCACTACCCACTGACCCCACCCACCATGAAGTCCTACGAGAAGACGCACTACAATGCCAGACAAGGACATTATAGCAACACCAGGGCTTCGTGAGCAATATACCTAAACACCAGCATCAGACACAATGACCATAACACAGTTGAGAACGCCCAACACTGGTACTCAGTTGACCCTAGCCCAACGGACCAGCCGACTGACTGTGGGGGAGCCACCCCAAGGCCACCCGTCTACAGGAATTCAAGACCAAAGTGGTGTGTTGCAGTGCCCCAGACACCAATCAACCACGATTATCTTCTCCTCCCCTTCACGCACGGCAAACACGTGGGTGAATGTTCAGAACCCAGAGGAGGTAAACTGAAGATACAGAACCTTCCCTGGGAGGTCCCCTCACCACGTACAGAAATCCACCTCGAGGGGAGAGAGCAGTTATCATACTGTATGTCAAACATCAGTCTTATGTGTAGAGATCAGCTATCATATTTTATGTCAAGCATCAGTTTTACCTGTAGAGGTCAGCTATCAGATTGTATGTCAAACATCAGTTTTACCTGTATAGATCAGCTATCAGACTGTATGTCAAGCATCAGTTTTACCTGTAGAGATCAGCTATTCAGACTGTATGTCAAACATCAGTTTTACCTGTAAATATCAGCTATCAGACTGTATGTCAAACATCAGTTTTACCTGTCTAGATCAGCTATCAGACTGTATATCAAACATCAGTTTTACCTGTCTAGATCTGCTATCAGACTGTATGTCAAACATCAGTTTTACCCGTAGAGATCAGCTATCAGACTGTATGTCAAACATCAGTTTTACCTGTAGTGATCAGTTATCAGACTGTATGTCAAGCATCAGTTTTACCTGTCTAGATCAGCTATCAGACTGTATGTCAAACATCAGTTTTACCCGTAGAGATCAGCTATCAGACTGTATGTCAAACATCAGTTTTACGTCTAGAGATAACTATCAGACTGTATGTCAAACATCAGTTTTACATCCAGAGATCAACTATCAGACTGTATATTAAACATCAATTTTACCTGGCAAGGATAACTGTTAGAAGAAATGTAGAACAACAGTGTGTAACTTCCAGGTCCTTCGTTGTAACTAGCAAACGCATATATTCCGATCAAACAGAGAATCGATAAGTTGTGCATTAAACATCCCACTCATCGTATTTGTTTGCATTCGTGAAACATTTTAAATTAAACAAAAAAAGACTTATTCAGGTTTGCTCTCGTTTTTTCTCTATCCAATAAATTTAATGTTTTATAGTCACACGGAAGAAGAACAAGGTTGTAACTCAATCTGAAGTTAGCTGAACTCGTTTAGCAACTCCCTAAGATGTAGGAGAACGAGAGTATACAAGAAGTTAGGCTTGGTAAACTCAAAAACAATACAGAAATTAGTACTCAGCGTTTCGTTGTAACTGTTGGAATACGCCTAATTAACAGCCTGCTTCCTGTGTGTGATATATAAATTAAATAGGCTAGGCATTTCATTGTACAGGTCACTGGTTAGGCCACAATTGAAATATTGTGTTCAATGTTGGGCTCCTTACCTCAGGAAGGACCTTGAATTGTTGAGAAAACTCGGGGAAGGGTTACTAGGACGACTCCTGGGAGAGAAAGGTTGTTATACTAACACAGACTAAGATTTCTGAAATCTCTCTTGAAAAAAAACAAACGTTAGAGGGGATCTGATTGAGCTGTTTAACATTTTGAAGAGAATTGATAGTGTTGATACGTCTTTTTTTTTCATACTTAATAGTGACACAAACATGCATTTTGGTAGGATAGGAGTCATCTTCAGCTAAGACAGTTTTATTTTTCTAACAGGGTGGTTGACCTTTGGAATGGGTTGCCTTCAGATGTGGTAGATGCAGTTAATTTAAGGGAGTTTAAGAGAATTGTTTGTTTGTAATTAAGCACAAAGCTGCACAATGAGCTATCTGTGCTCTGCCCACCACGAGTATCGAAACCCGGTTTCTAACATTGTAAGTTCGCAGAGATACCGCTGTGCCACTAGGGGACTTTTAAGAGAAGGCTTGATAAATATTTGGATAATAAATCCTGGCTTTGAATCTTATTTTCAATTTAAAGTTTAATGGATGAGACGACCTAGATAGACCAAGAGGTCCTTTGTTGTCTTTAAATTACATGTATATGTATATATATGTGTGTGTGTGTGTGTGTGTGTGTACGTTGTCCTAGCAAATTTATTTCAGTAATAATTATGATCTAAAACATTGTTTTGACTACTGTAGATTGTCTAAAACTTTTAGATTTTAAACATCCCCAGTGTTAAGTGTGCGTACTTATAGCGCTAAAACCCGGGTTTCGATACCGTGGTGGGTACAGCACAGATAGTCAATTGTGTAGCTTAACAACAAATAAACAAACACAAAGGAGATCAAAGTTATTTACTAATAATCTATCTATTTCTTTTTTTCTTCTAAAGAACAGTTTTTATGTTTTAAAATATTGCGCAAAGTTTCACAGAGGCAATCTGCGCATAGCTGTCCATTATTTTGAACTGACAGACTATAGGGAAACCGGGTTGTCAACAGACCCTCCCCCAACTCTTGGTCTACTCTTGTCTAATCGCAACTGTGAATCCAATTTTTTTTTTTACGACGGCTCGCAAACCAGATCTCTGAGATTCACATTCCGAGCTCACTACTAGAAGGCCAAGCCCAGCCCAAGTGCACTAAGAACAGAATACAACTTCTGCGGAATATACGGTTAGCCCTTATTATTCTCACATAAGATTATCAAAATTTTCTGTGGTAGTGAAACACGTTGAATAAGAAATATTGGTAAATCATCACATTACAAAAGTAGACGACAGAATCCTAGCTTTTCGTTCGGGGGATTCGTCTCCCCCGGAGGCAAAGACAGAATCTGACTGTTATTACAACGTTTATTAAACTTATCGTATCTTAGGATACCAAAAATATCTTAGGAATTATGTTTTGGCCTCCTCAGTGGATTAATAGTAACCCAGCAGGCTTACAACGCTAAAAAACAGGTTTCGATACCCGTGGTGGGCAGAGCACAGATAGCCTATTGTGTAGCTGTAGCTTTGTGCTTAACAAAAACCAAAACAATTATCGAAACCCGGTTTCAGGTGTTGTAAGTCCGCAGACATTCCTCTGTGCCACTGGAGCGCCCCCAACCTCCGTTTATGTGATACCATTGTTATAATAATAATAATAATTCCGTTATATTAATAACGATTGCCTCACACACAAACATATCTTGAGTTTGATTGTTGTTAAGCCACGTAATTCGTGCTCCACCTACCACGGGTATCGAGAGTTAGAAATTGGGGGAATAATTTATATTCTTGGAGAATACAACCTCTAATCAGCAATTATAATTTTTTAATATTATAACTTCCTTTTTTTTGTCTGAGAAATTCCCTAATTAAATTTCCAAACCTACACGTTAGCAGTATTTTACTCTTAACCACAAGTTGAAATGTGGTTTATTTTTAACTCAGTAACATTGCTCTTGGACACAACACTAAACTGTAAAGCACAGATAATTTTGTCTGTTTATAGCAGTTGCCTAAAGAAAACAAAATAACGAATTCGTATATTTGCTTTCAAAGGAAAGCTATTTCTTCGTGGATTTCAATTTAAACAAGTTATTTTCGCGATTTAATTTGCGTCTAAAAGTTTTCATTTATAATAATTGTTGTTAACTGCATTAGTATTTTTAAACTATGTGATTATCTCCCACACACTGTCATTAGAGTTTTTGTCGACATTAACAGATGAGCATGTAAGTCTACACCCCTTTGCAAAGAAGGATCTTACCTGACTTTACCGCCTCCTGGACTTTGGAATACCTTGGTCTTTTTTGACCTTTACTGCCTTTAGCGTATTTTTCATCTGGAAAACCATTGTGAATACCCGTGAGAGCCAAAACGCGGAATTTTTCGCTAAATAGTTTGTCTATTCAGCTCAACAAAGTGCCGCTTTGGGTACGCCAAAATAGGAAGAAGGAGGGGGGGGGTAGTAGAAAGGGAGGGGGGTATCAATGAGAAAGCTTTCCCACACGCAATTCATATTGAAACGTCTTCAACCAAACCGACCTGAGGGGTTCCTCTGGCATAAACTCTTGTGGGCACCCTGCTTTGTATTAATTAAGGGCGACAGCTCAGGCTAGAGTGAGCTCTTCCCATGATTGAGCTAACACCAATGGTTGGTCGAGCGATTTCACGGCGGAGTGGGTGGCGCTTGCGAATGCCGTTGTCAAGGTGACGGAGAGACCATACAGTGGGTGATACACGCCACATCAAACCGGGCTCGTGCTTTGAACGGTAGATAGGTTTAAGTGCACGTATGAACAAGGAGGATGTACGCTGTTTGCAGTGGAGGGACGGTGTTGTGTTGGCAGAAGTTCCTGTAGAAAAACGAAATATCTTTATTGTATGTTGAGGTTTCACCGATTGTTTTGATCGAACTGGATAGATATGCTTTAAATACCGGATATTATCGTATAACTGTATGTGTAATTAATGGTGTAAGGCTGGCCTCACTAGGTCAGGGATTACAGGTAATGTCGGTAAAGAAATTACATCCGAAGGAGAGTGAAAAGTTTTGAAAGTAATACAACTTAACAGGAAAAATAAACACAAACAATCGTTAAACTGAAAAATTTACAGTCTCTTTGCATATGGCGACTAGCCTGTTCGGCCTCAAACGACAGAGAATGCCTGTACGAACGTTGGGTTATGTCTTGCCGGTGCTCTTAACCTTCTTCTTGCCGTGCGTCTCGCCGTCGTTCCTCAACATGTTCTCGGCCCAGAAAACAACACTAGACCCTTGTTATGACGAGCACGGTGTACCAAAACGATGTATTCCTGACTTTGTGAACGCTGCTTTCGGCAGGCAAGTCGTGGTGTCCAGTGAATGTGGAAGTCCCCCCACCCGATACTGCGAGTATAAAGCTAACGAAAGAGGAGAGGGTGTTCAGCAGTGTCACACTTGCGACGCCAATGACCCCATAACACACCATTCTGCAGGATTTCTGACGGACCTGAATAATCCGAACAACGTCACGTGCTGGGTGTCTGCCTCCTTCTCCAACCCATTGCAGAACGTTTCTCTAACACTATCTCTAGGTAAAAAATACGAGCTGACCTACGTTAGTCTCCAGCTCTGTAGTCCCAAACCAGAGTCTATGGTAATTTACAAATCTTCGAATTTCGGTAAAAGTTGGCAGCCTTTCCACTATTACTCCAGCCAGTGTCAGAAAATGTACGGAAAACAACTAGACGCCAAGATCACCAGAGCCAACGAGCAAGAAGCCTTATGCACAGACTTGGTGTCGGACTCTAAGCCTGTTTACGGGGGTCGGATTGCCATGAGCACGCTGGAAAGTAGACCATCTGCGTACGACTTCGATAACAGTCCTGTCCTCCAAGATTGGGTTACGGCTTCAGATATCAAGGTTATATTTAACCGGCCTGGAGGATCCTTGTCTGATTTGGCTGCCTATAACGGTAGCTACTACTACGCCGTGTCCGACCTTGCTGTCGGAGGAAGATGCAAGTGTAACGGACACGCTTCCAAATGCGTTCCCGACCGCAACGGCCAGCTAGCATGCGACTGTAAGCACAACACTGCCGGTAGGGATTGTGAGAAGTGCAAGGCCTTTCACTTCGACCGGCCTTGGAGCAGAGCCACAGCTGACAACGCTAACCAGTGTGTCGGTAGGTAGCATAGCAATATGCGATATTTCAACTAAACTTAATGGACATGTAATTTGCATTATAAATTAGATTATTTAACTGTTACATATTACATACTTTTCAACATATGCAAGCTTTCTTTTTTTGGGGGGAGGATGGGTGTCTGAAGAGGTAGTATACAATGGGGATTAAGACACATAAAGATTTGGTAAGATAAATGAAAGATCTAAACTGTGTTTTCTTTTTTTTTAATCATAATTTATTATGTGACGTCTCCGGTCTAGTGCCGCTTCTTGTTCAAGGTTACGAAATTAGTAGGCGTATTGACGCAGTTTGTTTTGAAATTTTACCAAGTAACTATAGATACGTATTAAAAAAACAAAACTTGTATTCTGCTTCAAATAATTACTTAAGCGATATTTACCAAATATTATACCCGTTCTTCGAAGTTCATTTTAAGCAGAGCAACACGTGCCATCTAACTAAGTTTTCTTTTTTTTAACGGATTGGAATATGAGTATAAAATATCACTGTACCGGGAATGTTTGTACGAATTTTTCACAATGTAATGCTTGAACATATATTTGATGTATTCTGCTACACAAAACCAACAGAAACCAACACCATGACTCGTTTGTAACTTACTGTTCAGAAAGGATGCACCATGGGAAAGCTATACTAACTGACGTCATAGTCCAGAGTTGTGTTTTTTGTGACTTCTCAACTCTGGAGTCTATCCCTGATAAGAGCACCCGTAAACAGCAGTAAATACAGATATAACAATATCACCAATAATAATAATACCTGTAAACAATGCAAATATAACAAAATAACTTATGATAATAATAATGCCCCTGAACAGCAGTGAATACAAATATAACAATATAACCAATAATAATGATACCTGTAAACAGCAATGGATAGAAATATAACAATATAATTAATAATAACAGCAGTGAATACAGATATAAAAATATCACCAGTAATAATAATACCTGTGAAGAATGTAAATATAACAAAATAATTTGTAATAATATAATTAATAATAACGAAACCCGTAAACAGCAAAGGACAGAAATATGATAATCCAATTAATAATAATGATACCCGTAAAAAATAAATAAATCAAATACAGCAAAATACCAATCATACTCGTGAAGAGCAATGAATATAGATATAACAACATTACAAAATAATCAATAATAACTCACGTTTCATCTGTATAGATGGATGCATCATGTGCAGTAATTGGTCAACGTTTATGTAAAGTTACAAGTCATCGTGTATAAACATACCATGTAAAGTAACAAGTCATCGTGTATAAACGTACCATGTAAAGTTACAAGTCATCGTGTATAAACATACCATGTAAAGTTACAAGTCATCGTGTATAAACATACCATGTAAAGTTACAAGTCATCGTGTATAAACATACCATGTAAAGTAACAAGTCATCGTGTATAAACGTACCATGTAAAGTTACAAGTCATCGTGTATAAACATACCATGTAAGGTTACAAGTCATCGTGTATAAACATACCATGTAAGGTTGTGTTACTTTACATGGTACGTTTATACACGATGACTTGTTACTTTACATGGTACGTTTATACACGATGACTTACGATGACTTGTAACTTTACATGGTACGTTTATACACGATGACTTCTATAAACGTGTAATTTAAAATAACATGCAAGCGCGAATGTATTCGTTATGCTTGTAAAGCAAAATTTTGTTACAGGCGCATCGTCTAAACTTCAGTGGTGTACAACATGAACTTAAAATGTTTTTCTTTAAACGCGTTTAAACTTTCACTTCCGTGTGTGTGGCTCGGATAACAGGACAGTTCCTTATGTTTAATAGAATGAAACAACCAGGTGAATACAGGAAAAAAAAAAAAAATTAAAACCGCACCTTTACAACACGTTATCGTTTTGCTAACCGTAACTTTGAAGACCCAAAACCTATTGATCTTTCACTATTAGCATGACCCACCATAGCTTAGTATATAAACCTTCTTAATACTTGTCAAAACCTATTGATCTTTCACTATTAGCGTGACCCACCATAGCTTAGTATATAAACCTTCTTAATACTTGTCAAAACCTATTGATATTTCACTATTAGCGTGATCCACCATAGCTTAGTATATAAACCTTCTTAATACTTGTCAAAACCTATTGATATTTCACTATTAGCGTGATCCACC